GCTGGTGTTGGCAGCAGGAAGGAAAGTAGCAGCAGCTGGCTGCAATGAGCTGTGTAGCCCTTTGCCATTGGGGCACTGGGAGTGGTTTTCATTGTGTCTTCTGGAAGCTCTCCAAGATTGGGCAGGAGGGCTGAGCTCCTCCTGCAAGTGTGGCGTGCACGGTTCTGGTGTTTAGTATCCTCAACCAGAGACTAGCCATATCTCCCACAATATTGCCATGCTGCTGCTCTTTTGCATATAATTTGCATGAGGTTTGTTGCATTTTGAAGACGGCCAAGGGAAAAGCTGACTGACTAATCGGCCAGATTTCACAGGACAGTAGTACCTTGGTGGGAGTCCCTGCTATCTATTCCTTAGCTTTGCGGATCCAGAAATTCAGCGTTGTCAGTGTACCCTGCAATAAGCTGATTCCGGGGGCTGACTCTTGATAACTACTGGGCACTCCTTCTCAGTCTCCTTTGCTGGTTCTTCTTCATCTCCACAGTCTCTAAATGTTGGAGTGCTTCAGGCTCAGTCCTTGAGCCTCTTCTCTGTTTAAACTGATTTCCACGGTGATCTCGTCTAGTCTTGTGGCTTTAAATACCATCCATGTCCTGATGACTCTCAAATATGTATCTCCAGCTTGTAATCCTCCCCTGAACTCCAGATTCTCATACCCAGGTTCCTCCTTAATAGCTCCACTTGGACATCTAATGGGCATCTCAAGCCTAATGTGTCTCAAACCAAACCCCTGGTCTTCCCCACCAAAGCTGCCCCTCCCCTTGTCTTCCCCATGTCGGTAAATGAAACTTTTTTTGGTAACTCAGGCCAAAACTCTTGTAGTTGTGCCTGGCACTCATTTTTCCCTTCAAAATTTATTCTCTCTCCCTTACATTATTGGAATTTCCTCCTAACAGGCGGAGATTCTATTCCCACCACTGCCCCCTTCTCTGCTTTCTTTTTCTCTATAGAATTTATCACTATCTGACATACTATGTGTTTTCCCCTAAAAACCTGTCTTCCTTTAGCCCACTAGAATGTAAACTCCATGAGAGCAGGGGTTTTGTCTATTTTGTATACTTCTGTATTTCTGGCTCTTAGAACGGCGCCATGACACATAGGCTAGTAGGCACTCACTAAATATTTGTTTAATATATGAATGAATGAATGAACCGAGTCATATGATACTGATATATGCATCAGAATGTTTCTTAATTGACTGTGAGAAGTATGACTGCTAAGCAGACCTGAATACTCACATTAGATATTCAAGGCACCCTCTTCCCTTTAGGGGAGTGTTAATGGGCTATCGTACTAGAATGAGAAGTTAGGGGAATATTAGGATAGATACTCTTTACAGGTAAATGTGATCAACCCATCTTCGTTGTACGAATATGCCTTCCTATAAGACCATAATATTCATGGAAGCTGCTTTGGAATCACCCCTGCATTGGGCTCTTTGGCTCTCTTTTTTCTGCTTTTCATGTAGAAGAAACAAGGATAACTTCTAAATTTTTGACTTGAGTAAATGGGTGGATGGTGATGCAATTAACAGAGATACGGAAGGACATCATGAGAATAATTTAGACTAGAAGTGATGTATAAGGATAAAGTATGAAGGGTGTTAAAACTGTAGTAAATCCAACTTGAGGCATTGTTTCAAGTATTCAAGCTGTTACACCAAAAGCAAAGTTCTATCATGGAAGAGATTGTACACCAATATCCATGTGCTCGTCTGTATTTCCCCTTGGCTTTCCTTTTAGCCAAGTGGGGTCATGTGGTTTTGTTCTGGCCAATGGAATGTGGATGGGATTGATAACTGCCACTTCCAGGCCTGGCCCATCCAATAGCCTTCATAATTTTTCATGCTGAAACTCTCTGCTGTTGCCACAGCTGGAAGCAAAGGACTTGAGATGGCAGAGCACAATGCAAGGAACCTGGATCCCTGAGTTCATCACTTAGAGGAAACCTATCTAGGCGAGTTGTTTGACAGGAACCATCTCATAGGACTTTGTGTGAGTGAGAAATAAATCTTTGTGTTAAGTCAGTGAAATTTCAGGGTTTGTTTGTTACACAGCAGAGTCTAATCTACCCTGACTAACACATCTACCTACACACTATTATCCACAGGAAAGCTCTCTCTACCTGAGCTACACATGGAGATTCAAGAGAAGCACTTAATGCTTGTCAGTTATGTTAAGGATTTTCTTCCTCAGCTTTATGAAGAGATGGGCAATGACTATAAATGACTACTTTTGCTCAAGAAAGTCACTGACTTTCATAAGGAAAAGTCATCACTTGACTATTTGAGTTTCAAGAAAAATCTGGGGCTTCCCTGGCGGTGCAGTGGTTGAGAGTCCGCCTGCCGATGCAGGGGACACAGGTTCGTGCCCCGGTCCGGGAGGATCCCACGTGCCACGGAGCGGCTGGGCCCGTGAGCCATGACCGCTGAGCCTGCGCATCCGGAGCCTGTGCTCCATAACGGGAGAGGCCACAACAGTGAGAGGCCCGCATACTGCCAAAGAAAAACCAAGAAAAATCTGTGTCTTTCTGGGGAGAAAACCTTCCATTTGAATGATCATAAGCGTGGCTAGGATTGACTTTGAACAACCCAAATTTATGCTTTTATGACAAGCTTCATCATTGTAGTACCATGCAAGAGAAACTGAATGCAACGATTGCAAAAACTGTAGCTGTAGCACATATGCTTTGATGGAGATTGTGAGTTTGGGGTATTAAATGATTTTCATTGTCTAGATTACCTAGTTGTGAATTCAGCTGAAGAACTTGCTGAAAACATTTTCATCATAATGAAGAGACTCTTGAAATGCTTGATTAAGTGTCTTCTGCAGAATTTCTCAAAGTGGATGGCAGTGGTGAGTGGCTAATTGTGCTAATTGGGATCCTCCAGGAAGCAGATGCTAATATGGAGTTAAGAATACAAGATGTTGGGCTTCCCTGGTGGCGCGGTGGTTGAGAGTCTGCCTGCCGGTGCAGGGGACACGGGTTTGTGCCCCGGTCCGGGAAGATCCCACATGCCACGGAGCGGCTGGGCCCGTGAGCCATGGCCGCTGAGCCTGCGCGTCCAGAGCCTGTGCTCCGCGATGGGAGAGGCCACAACAGTGAGAGGCCCGCGTACTGC